CTGATCATCAAATGTACGCTCTTGTTGTGGCTTAAAAAGAGAAATGATATTAGTAAATTCACCATTTTCTTAGCAGTTTGAACTTAGAATAGTGACACGTAACCAACATTTAACACTGCCCATGTGATAGAAAAACGAGATTCATAGCGAATCGCCGAGTTAAGATTATACCTTTCTTCAAGATCTTTCAGCCGGTTTGCAAATTCCAACAGCTTGGGGGTCGCGTTATTATTCACCGTTCTTCGATCACGGTGCAACTGCGATTGTTTTCCACCAACTTCAGTGCCTTCAGATACGCGATCTTCCTCTCGCGGTTTTCGCGCCAGTTTTTCTTCAAGTGCAAAAATGTCAACCAGAATAGCACAGAACATCACTGACACAGCCACGAAACGTAGGCTGGTACGAGGGGTAACCGCTGGTGGTAATTTCATTTTAAAGGAACTTTCAGCTTTTGAAACAGAAAACAACCTTTTGTCTATCCTCCACAAAATGTTGTTACGTGAAAACAATTTCGAGGCTTGGATGGTACAAAAATGAGGACGAGAAATTTTTCGCGCTTATGACGTAACATCCAAGGTCACAGTCCGAAGGCGGATGTGAGCTTGCAACAGGCTTAAATATGCAAGGACAATAAGTAAACAGTCTTCTAAATTATCCGTATAGTCATATTAAGTATGGAGACGTCATATACGGACAAATTGTTTCAGAACAAGATTAAGCGTTCAAGTTACTACACAAGAAGCCCAGCCCAGTTTGACGTGGTGGCGTTTAAAAGCGGAAGTTAAGGAAAGTATTGGAATCCGTACTGAGTATATCTTTATTCCAGCCGGCCACTGTGTAATGTAAAATCTCTTAAATTTGCATGTTAAGCTTATTTGTTTAAGTCTACACAAAATTTTTGATAGTGAGGTTTCAAGCTCTCCATTCGGGCGAGCCAAGCGATCTGCGCGAGAACGCATGTGCGTATAACTTTTCAGCACGAGGGAGAAAGTTTAATAACATTTTTTTCTTTCGTGGCTCTATATCCTGTATATCTGCGGTAAATTTCAAGTTGAGTATCAGAAAAATATATGACAAACGACAGCGACTTTCTCGACCTTGCTAAAATGCGACAGCGATATTTTTTCCCAAACTACCAGGTTACAGGCAGCCTGAGGAATGACAAACAAAATAGAGAGCTAATGCTCGCGGGCTAAATTTAAAATTAACACAGTCATTAACATCATTTCGGCTAGCTGGCAAACAAAGAAAATCATTCAATTAACACAGCTTTGAAAGAGTATTAATGAAAGTTCTTTTATTTGTAAAGATCTAAAATTTACTCCTTTTTGTTGTATTGAGATAAACGAACACGCTTTGTGAAAGTCTAAACATACAAAATTTGTCAAACTTAATTTTGAAAAATTCGGTGGCATTTGTAGATGACACATTTTTGGTGCGGCTGTCGTAGGTGAAATCCTTTGTAGGGTTGAAGCAGGATTTCCTTTGTATTTGCTGAATTAAAGAAATGAATTATAGGAATGATCTGCTTCTGTTACCATAATCCATTTGCTACAACTCACCGGTAACTACGTCTATATGCACACTACTTAGCTATCCAGGCGGTTTAGAGTGTCTGCGACGCAGGCTAGCCCAGTTGGGACGGCGAGTTAGTCTGCGTAATAGGGGAGGCGAGATTGTTAGAAGGGTTTGTCAATATAACCCTCTGCATATTGAATAGACAGTGGAAACACACTTTGTCTTATTGGTGAAATTAACTTTTAAAGACTAGTTATTAGGGAAATACGTTCAGTTCCAGTGCGACTCTTGCATGGAAAAAGGAACAACAGAGAAACAGAAAATATGGTCACCAAACTCCATTCATCCCACATGGTTAGCACAGGCTACAAAATGAAAAATTAGGCTTCTCTATACTCTCGTGGACCGCAATAAAAGACTCAAAATAAATAGAAAACGTTAACTTGTTAAACTGAGTACGGTATTTTAATAGTGAAAACAAAAGGATGCTTTCCCCTTAGGCCCTAATACAAACGCTCATTCTCAGCAATGTTCCCCGCAAAGCTATCTCCCTCGGATAATTGTGAATAGTATTTGTTGAAAAGTCAAGACATCAGTTTTATATGTCAGTTATTTTGCAGGACCTATTTGCCTAGTAAAGTAGTATTAGTATATGGAGAAAAAAAAGCCTTAGAAAACCATCTATAAATGTTTGGTTATCAACACATATTTTTTTTTCACATTTTAGACAGGCTAAAGTTAAAAAACCCAAGTAAGAAACTAGTTTCTAAGAACCTCTTAAGCATTGGTAGATACAACTGTACTGAGACCTCTCTGATCTCTATACATATACAAAAACCTGTTCAGCCTATTTCAAACAGGTTCTTATTATCTAAAATCTATTTTTTAAAAATATGCACATTTGGGGAAATGAGGTAAGTCAACATTTGGAATCCTTTTTGAAGACACAGGTATCACATAGTCAGCTATACTTCACAGGTTCTTAATGTAGTCATTTTTTTAAGAAAATATTATTATTTGATTTTCAGATTATATTTGAGGTAGAGACTGAAACTGCAGCGGGCTCTGTTACGCCGCAAAATGTAATATTAACGCAAAATGTAATAAGAATCGCCGCAAAATTAATATTAACGCAAAATGTAATAAAATTTCAACGCAGAATGTAATAATCTTTCAACGCAAATTGTAATAACTTTTCTGACGCATAATGTAATAACGCAAAATGTAATAATTTCAGAATAACGACGTGCATGCTATTTCAAAATCGGTTGACAGTTTCCCATAATTATCCAAAAATTCTAACCCATACACCCTCCCCCCAAGTGGTCAAAAATGGTCGGCCCTAAAAAGACGAAATTGAGCACTTTTTTTGGATCTCCCAGTTCAAGATTTTGTGCCGACGACTCTAAGCCAATGGCGATTGCGTTGCTGAGCAAATTCAAAGTTTCGTTTAGCGTCGAATGCGTTTCCTGATATTGAGTCGGTCGGTCGGATTGAAAAGAAAAAAAAAAACTGCAAAAAAAAAATCACAAGAAGTCTCGGAATAGGAGGTCCTGGTACCCAAGGACGACGTTAAAAGTTAACATTCACATATTTGGATTAACAAATGCACAATTTACTGTAAAAAATGTTCATGTCTTTGTTCCTGTTTTTCTCTATGCTGTTACTATGCTCATTTTTTTCAGATTAAAAGAATTATTTCAAGTGAAAAATGGTTTAACTACGGGTCGGTCGGACGATGCTAAACGGAGAAAGAAAAAGAGGATGGCCTGTCTTCTAATCACAACTGCCTTGCCAGGCAAATTCAATATTTTTTGCATCAGCTTAGCTCTACTCCAATCAAAAATGCGTTACTGGGTTAACTAAAAAATTTTTATGCTATCTGTTCTAGGCAAACGACAACTGCCTTACAAGGCAAACTGATTTGACTTTGCAAAGCTTGGAAACTTCAACATAAAAGAAACTTCGACCTAAAAAACAGCATTAAGAACAATTAAGCCTCTATTAAGTGAGAACTTAGGAAAAGTAAGCTACAGCCAAAGTTGTCTGGTTCTCATGAAAAAAAGTTTGACAGATATCTTACACAGTTTAAATGCACTGATTTGAATTATGCTTTGAAAGTTGATTCTATTACTTGTTTTCGACAACAGCTATTTTATTTGACTGAATTAAATTCAACATCTGAAATTAAACCAAGTCTCTCAGTTGCTACAGTTGTGGTACAGTACAGCAAGCTCTTGCAGCCATTTTTGTCTCGTCACGCAACGCTCCTCCTCCTTTGTTGCGAAAGAGTGTTGCGTGATGAGACAAAACACGGCTGCGAGGGAGACTAGCTCAGCACGGAAGAAACACGACGTTTCAACCGTTATTTTATTAATAATAATAATAAGAAGAAGAAGAATAGAATAATAAGAAGAAAATAAATATTATTACTATTATTAACATCAATATTGATAATAATAATAATAATAATAATAATAATAATTAAAATGAAGATCTGGATCAGCTACTGATTACTGAGCCACAATACCGATTTTGAAATAGCATGCACGTCGTTATTCTGAAATTATTACATTTTTGCGTTATTACATTATGCGTTAGAAAAGTTATTACAATTTGCGTTGAAAGATTATTACATTTTGCGTTGAAATTTTTATTACATTTTGCGTCAATGTTATTACATTTTGCGTTAGTATTACATTTTGCGGCGATTCTTATTACGTTTTGCGTTAATATTACATTTTGCGGCGATTATTACATTTTGCGGCGTAACAGGCTCTTACTTGTAGGTTTTTACTGTAGCAAACATTCAGTTGATTAAGGCTTTGAAATCCACAAAATAATAAAGTTATCCCACACTAAAACTTCAATAAAAATAGTTTTACAGCTTGCCTGGGCAAGCTGTAGCTAGCATGTTGATGTAAGTAATAAACTTTTGACGCACAGGATAAATAATTAATTACTTAATTGTTATGTCTTAGTTATTTCATTACCAGCATTTTTTTAAACATTTGATTGTAATAAATTATAACAATTTCACTTCTCATCAGATCAACTTGAAACACTTAGAAGGGGGGAAAATGATCAGTAACGTTTAGTTTATTGGCTCAGTTATGCTGTAATCAGAATGATATGCCTGACTACAGGTCAAGTGAGGTTCTATGATCAAAGGTGGTTATAGCAAGGGGGGGATCCAGGAATTTTTTATTAGGGGGGTCCAAACTTTGGTTCAGAAAGGACTGTTGAACTTTTTTGAGGCAAATTACTTCTCCCCCACACTCGCTCCTACCAGTCACGCTTGCATGCATGTTATAATTCCTTGGCCTGTTACCGTGTACTTGAATCACTGGACGGAAAAATTGATTTCCCTCAAATTTGCTCACGTGCAAACTAAGAGTAAAATTTGCACAAAAGTGGTAAATGCCAATTTTGCACACCTATTTGCACCCCTGTGTGAAGGGGTTTGCAGATTTGGCATTTGCCACCTTTGCGCAGATTTTACCCTTAGTTTGCACACTTTTGCACATGAGCAAATTTAAAGCAAATTCATTTTTTCGTCCAATGAATTCTACTCGTAAAGGATGGACCCTTGGAACATCCTCCTCTTCTGCTTGGTAACAAAGATTGTACAGATTTCATTAACATCATAGGAGGGTACCCAAACACAATTTACATTTTTGAATATCCGTGGAATTTAGTTTAGTGGCAAAATGCAATGCACGTTTCGTTCAAAAAAAAATATCTACTTAAAAAGTGATATATGATCCTGTCAATGTCAATTATTAATGGGTGTACGATGTTTCATTTCAGTGGTAAATGTTTCAGGAAAATTTTGAGGATCTTAAAAATGGACAGAAGGAAGTGCAAGACTGGGCCCTGTAACAAAGATTGTCGATTGGAATTTTCTGGTCAACTTTACATTGATTTTGGCACTTTTTAACTGGCCTGATGTATAGCCACTTTGTTGTATATATAATACTTATAATGATATTAGTAAAAAGTAATATTAATAAATTACTAATTATTATTATTATTATTATTATAATTAAAGAGTTTTCTCTGTCATCTACTAGTCCAGAAACAGAGATGATTAACTTAAGATATGCCTTGAAATAAAGTAAATAAAGTTAATGTTACATCGCTATATCTCAAGTGTCTGATATAAAGGTTTACCTAAACCTTTATATAGAGAGAAAACCGTTCACATAAAAACCCATAAAACGGCCATAAATCTGCCCGTGGACCACACAGGAGAGACGCAACACACATTTTAAGTAAGGTAAGCTGTTTTTTATTGTGAATCCTTTCACTTCCGTAGGTTAAAGAAACGATAGGTTTTTTTCCCATACAAATCCTTATATTTTGAATGTTATGCAACAATGCCGATGCTCACCGATGCTCATATCTCGAGCTTGGGCTACCTGTGCTACCACACCAAATTATGAAGAGACATTTGATGCACCGAATCAAAGACCATATCATTTTCAAACTGTCAAATTATTGTTCCTTGTGAAGCAATTAAGAGGGTGAAGGCCTTGCGGAGAGAGACTTACAACGTTGTTGAAATTTACCTTGTGTGTTGATGAATGTCAGCAAGAATAGAACACTACGCTAATGAGCTAATTTCAATCAATTTGGTTGGTGTCAGTGCCATTGCTTAACAAGAAAACCACGACAAAATAAACTTAGCCCGGTTGCTTTTGCAACTGTCTGAGAGACAATCAACACTAGGATGGAAATTAAGTTTTGTTTTTCTTGTATGTCAAAAAGTGCAAACGCAATAAGCTCAAGGAAGAAAGTTTGTACACAGGCAAACCAACCAAACTGTTTGAGGCATTGTGATGTCACACATGGCATGTGATCTCATACATATACTTTAGTTTGTGTACAGCCGCTCTCTCACCTTGTGTTTGTGTTGTGTGTTTTACAGTCTGTTTGATTCTAGGACCATTTGGAAGACTTTTTATCAGGTTGTTAATAAAGGCCAAGCAAAAAAAGAAATGTGTCTTGTCCGGATTTCTTTAACAAAGAGAGCAGTGGGCACTTTTTAACTTTATTATTACCAATTCTCGGTATTCTTTCTTTACAAATTTTAACCCTCTCCCAGGGATAACTTGGAGTCTGTCGCCGTCAAGATATTGATTTTTGGGTAACAGTGTTGAAAGTAATGACTTTTGTTCAGTCCAACTTTTTCAATAACAAATAATAGAAAAGGGAGGCAGCCCCCCAAAAATAAAGCAGGTGGGGACGAGAAACTTTTTTTTACTTGGCCTATTATAAACTCAAAATCTACATATTGTAAAACTTAATAATGGCTCTAGAGGTGAACTGAAAGTAAATCACACAACACAAACACAAGGTGAGTCCTTTTCTATCTATTTCTTTCTTGCTTGCTGGTTTGTTTTTTTTTTTTTTTTCAAAAAATGGCATTTAAAATGTATTTTGTTTATTTTCATACATTCTTGAACTGTATAAAATTCAAATTAAAAAGTCCCGCGAACTCCTATAGAGTCCGGGATCTCAAGAATGAAGCGTACATACCTGCACATACCTGCCGAAAAATTGAAGAATAGGAAATCCTTTACTCATAAATACATTAAAATGAGTCAATCTGATGTTTTGTAGCGTATATATGCATTACGTTCATTACTTTAGGTGAAAAAAAGACTCGTTAGAGTTCGTTAGTGGTCCGCCATCTTGTTTGTTATTATGGTGCACATCCGGTCAAGATGCATCATGGGATTAGTCGCTAAAGCAAACTGTTATGGTCTACACCCCCTAAATGGGGCAAAAAAAAAAATGCGCATGTCAGAACTCTTGCTCTCAAGGTGTGAAGTTCCGCGTGCAGAGTCTCATCAATTGAGTCCGTCTTAACTGAAAGGGCTTCGAATGCATCTTTGGCGAGATTAACGTAATGGTCAAACATGTTTTGATCCAGCTCTGTACTGGTAGAATGACAAAGTGAATTTCTGAGGCGTCTTAGCTGGTCGATAGAGAGCGCGAATGTTTCATAGGGGTCTCCGTTTGCACTGATGACAGAGCCATGAAACTGTCCATGAGGGACTCCACGCGGCTTCACATACAGCTCATCGAGTGTTTTAAGGTTACCCGTACCGTCTGGTGAACGGAAGGACTTTGCATAGAGTGTGGCTTGAAACAGCGCTGTACAATCCCACTCTTCATATGACTTTTGTGTAGGAATGCCCTTGTTGCCGAATTCATTTCTGTGTAATAATTTTCTCACAGCATCGGAGTCGTCCCGCTGATTCCGTCTAAATTTTTTGTCCCACATCACCTTAAAAGTTTGACGTAAGGCTTTGGGAAATTCATCAAAGACAATGATGCTAAACTTTAAGTGGTTCAACCGCTCCTTTGACTCAAGTCGAACCATGTTTTCGATTTGTCAGATTTGTGAACTTGAACACCTTGGCCTCAGTTAAATCTAAAAATGGATTGAAAAAACATTTGTAAGGCCCAGTTCAGACGTCGTGCTTCTGCCGTGCCGAACTAAATTCAGGAATTAAGTTCGACAAAAGCACGGCAGAAGCACGGCGTCTGAATCAAACTTTTGAATTAAGTTCGGCAAGCAATTAAGTTCGACAAGCGCTGCCGTGCTACACGGCTCTGGCACGGCAGCGATTCAAACGTCGTGCTTCTGCCGCGCTAAACAAAATTATATTAATGTATTTTGGCGAGATTGCGTTGCCACGGGGAGTTGGGAGAAGAATTGTTACGAGGCATCAGCAAATCCTGAATTTGGTTCGACTCTGGCACGACGTCTGAATCAAAGTTGTTTTCCTGCCGTGCTACAGTCGAACCAAATTACAATTAAGTTCGGCACGGCAGAAGCACGACGTCTGAACTGGGCCTTAGACTCATTTAAATAGTGTTCTTCTCACTTTGACTTTCGTCGTACCAATTAAGAACACAGTAACACTAATAAAGACAAAAATGGCGTCCTCAAACATTCGAAGACCTACAACTTAGGTACAGATTTTTAAGTTTTTAAAGAAACGAACGAAATAAATCATACCAAGTCACTTTTGCGAGGCGGTTGATTCATACTGACGGCCAAATTTTGATATAGTGGCAAAATTCTCTCCCCAAAACGAGAGTTTAAGACTTGCTGACAAAGAAATGGCGAGGAGTCGTTCCTTGAAGAAAGGAAGAACTGTCAGAACGATTCGAAACTGAAACGGGAAAAACCCCACATTCCTAGAAGTAAAGAACGATTCGAAACTGAAACGGGAAAAACCCCACATTCCTAGAAGTAAAGATCATCAGTCAGGTGATCCTGGCTTGTAAGGCCGGTTGGTCACGCCGTCGTCACGCTTCCTCTCCTGAACTGTACATACTCTTTTCTCTTTTCTGGGGAAAGCTGAGATTTGCTAAAAAAAAAAAAAGCCTGAAATGGGAACGGGAGAATGATGTCTTTAAGGTTGTCTCAATAATTCCCAGATCAGTACTGTAATACCGTGTCAGGAAATCAGAGACACGGCATTTAGTGTATTTATTAGGTCACTGAAATTTTTTTTCAAGAAATTTCTTTGTTTTATATATTATATATGGCCAAAAAACCCTCTTGGCACAAGTTAAGTGGGGAAGGAGGTTGGGAAGGAGGCAGCGTAAGCGAGTGGTCAGCGGGTTCATTATTCAGCGGTCCCGAATCCCGATTGGATCGGCTTCGGCTCTGGGGTCCCGAGTTTCAGCCCCGTGGCAAAAAGACCAGCAAACTAAAGAGGCCTTCGCTTGAGTCTCAAAGATAGAGGTATCAGTACCCCATAAATCCTCTCAAGCGTGGCATGGTCTCTCCAGATGATGTTTTGTACTTTTCTCATGTTTTCTCAAACGGTTTCAATATGGCAACCGTCGAGACTACACATAAACCTGGCAGACCCCTATATGGGCTTTAGCCATCTCTTGTTGTGGTTTTGGACTGATTTTGCTCTTTGTCTACTAATTATTCATTTCACATTTTTATTATAACAATCTCAATGCAAGATCCAGTTGTTAGAAAAATTATTGCGTCATTGTGGCGGCAAAACTCGTCACGTGATCTGAAAACTGAGCTTTGCACGAGAGTCTAGGAACTGTGTATAGACTGGGGTAACTTTCGCAAAAGAGAACTTCTTTCGGCAATTTCGAGGAAAAGTTGCTAAACACATTTTTCTAGATGAGAATTATGTGCTAAACACGAAAATTTTGTTTACCATTTAGACATTGAAATTAGCCGTTAAGGGTAGCATTAATACATTGTGACATGAAAACGAGGCTGTATGTTGTATGAGGATGCAGAGAACTCTCAAACTGTTAAAATTCGTTCAGATCAACAGCTGACTGATACAACTTGTTACTTACAGTACCTCGCAGAAACCGTCTGAAAATCACGTGATTTTTCTGGTCACGTGACCATTGAAAACAAGGTTATAGGCTGTTCAGCATTTAGACAAATTTAACGGCACTGTCATGAAAGAAACAAAATTACCAATCCAGCAATTCGCTCCGTTAGTTACAGAAGCTATAGAAATTTAATTTTTCGGCTATTTCCTAAGATATTTACAGTACGCTCCCGTTCTATATTGCAGACATCTTACTTCCATTTGGAATTATTGAATTTCTGGACGTTTGCAAAATCCTTGAGATAATTAACAAAAACTGCATTTTCTTAAAACTACTTTTAACTTTCACGCCCTAACCATTCTGGATACATGCTGCACTTATAACTAAGAAGGAATGTCATAACATTCGATTGGTAGTAGCCATTTTAGATGCGTCTGATGTCAGCTTCTGAAACACATTTAAGACCTAAATTGATATTGTAAGCATCAGACATCCTCGTCCTATAGGACGAAAATAACAAAAAAAACCTTATTAGTCCACAGACAATTATAAAACAAGGATAAAAAATTACTTAGAGAAGCTAAAGGCTTTTTTCTGCTGAACTGTACCATTTACTTTCCTTTGTTTGCAATGACATGACCATCAACATCATTTGTGCAATTGAGATCTTCAGTACACCTGCATGTACACGGCGAGCTTTTGCCTGATTCCCATGAATTTATCAGGAATTTAAACAATTTGTCTTAAAGTACTTCGGGACCCAGTTGTTCGAAGACCGATTAGCGCTAAACCCGAGGTTAAATTTTTATCCTGGTTTCTTCTTATTTTGTTCCAAAGCATTTTCTCGAATAAGTTTCTTTAGTATTTTCCAAATCAGTGAATAGCACTTTTCTTACCTTTTGATTGGCTCCCGTAACTCGGAATATCCTTTGCGACCGGAGCTAAAATGGCGTCTCACCTCGAGGCATTTTCGGAAGACGAAATTTGAGCGATTAATGGGGCAGTCGTACAAACAAATACTAGGAAAGCGACTATCTTTGGCTTGTCGGTGTTTACTGGTAAGTAAGAATATATTTTCATGCTGAATTTGCAACAAAATCGTCAAAATACCAGAAATGTTTGTAAATTGTAAATTAAGTTCCTACTAAGTCACGTTTTTAATTTCCAAAAACTTACTTTTTTCATTTTTATCCAACTGATTTGGTAAATACTAAAACAACTATCCCCCTCAGGATCGGTGAAAAGTGCTAGATATATAACTCGACGCTTCGCGTCTTGGTATACGCACCACTATTTACCTCTCCTTCGGGAGATAGTTGTATACTATCCTTTTTAGAGCATCCAATAGTCACATTGAAGACAAAAAGAATTAAACTGAATTTTGCTTTTTCAGCTTTTATCTCTGAATTCAAATGTCGCACTAACCGTGTGTTATCTTAACCAAGCTTTTATTTATCTTAACCAAGCTTTTAACAACCCGGCCCTGTAATTTGAATCCTCCTAAAAACCCAGTCGTCCGTCAGCAAGTTAAGAACAGAATTCACAAGTGCAATCGCAAAATTTACTAGCTCCCAGTTATGACGCATAACTTTCCTTGCAGGCTGTGCGGTCAGGAATGGCTATTGGAGAATTTTGACTTAAGCTACAAGCTGGATGCATAATCTTAGGAATCACTCAGTAATCCTTGGATATTATTCATAAGTCACAAACAATCATCAAAATTTAATATCTTACACATGCTCATTGTGGTATGTTCTACGCAACTTGCCCCAGAATCCAAAAGGTAGATGGTTACTTGAAAGAAAGGAAACGTTTGCATCACAAAGCTTTCAGCGCGGGCTATAATTATTGAACAACCCTAAAAGAAATCAGACCCACCTCAGTAAGGCTAAAACTACTGATTCCACTAACCTGTTGCAACAGGCTACTTCTTCTCCACCCACATTTTTGTCCCAGCTTTACTTTTTAATTAATAATTTTATTCCCATGATGTTGATCTCTATCAATAATACTATTTATCATTTTTCATCACATATTTGATCTTTCTATTCACAAAATAGGGTTTCAGTCACTCATGAAACCATCTACTCATCGTGCAATGGAACAGATACGTTCATCTCAGCCAAGACCTCTTTTATACACTCAAGCAAATGCTCCATATCTTCAGGGTACAATTTTCCAATGTTGCCAATCCTAAAGCAGTCTGCATTGCTTACTTTTCCGGGGTAGATAACTTGGTCCCTACTGTTTAAGCGACTGTAGAACTCCTCAAAGTTGTAATTAGGGTGGGTGGGGTTGTAGTAGGATGTTATGATGTAGCCTTCGTGGGTGTGCAACTAAAAACTTCTTAATGCCGAGTTTTCTCATTCCATCTTGAAGGACATGGCAGTTTTCCATGTATCTACAAATGTAAGTTTCAAATTAAAGTAAATTAACCCACTTGCTCTCAAAGTCAATAACAGAGAAATGCAGTAAATGGTGAATTTAGCATCCAGGGTCAGAGGCATAACTACGACTTTTCAAAGGAGGAGACACACATGTCACACACAGGGCACTTACACAATTGGCATGTCGACATCCAGGCCGTCACGTGTTTTTATTAAAAATGACATTTTTTTTCCGGACGAGCAGTGAGCATGGGGGGAGGGACAAGCCTACAAGATAGCTGCATAGATTAATTAAGTTCCACTTGGGATCCCTCGTGGCTTTGCTTCGCGTCAGGGGCACCCATCGAGAATATTGTTCAAAACCAGCATTAATGAACGTATTTTAGTATTTACACGGTAGATATAGGCATATTTTTATCCCCTAAAAATATTTCATCTGTTCGGATTTCCTAGCTTAAAGTCTAGTGATCCGAATATTATAGGGATCAAAACTTACCTTTTCGAAAATTTCAGCCAGAAAAAAGGCTCCCGAAAATTCTAGGTGACTTTTTTAAGGTAAAAATCTGTTAAAAATGGGCAATTATACCATTTTTCGATGTTCGAAAATCCTAGAAGAGGCAGGCAAGTAAGAAATTTTACAACAAATGTTCTGAAAATTCTAGATCTCAAATCGTCTTCCGAACAGATATTTTCCGAAAATTGACGTTAGGTGCCCCTTTTCCCGTGGCGGCTCTGCCGCCAAAAAAGTACGGGCCCCAGACACAAGAATATCGCCAGCTACGCAGGCTACATGTAGCATAAATTACTCCTTTTTAATTACGAACAAGAACAATTGGTCCTCTGCAGATGTTCGGTCCTGCAAATGGAGTAAATATCTAGCAATGGAAAAGATTTATTGCATGTTGATTCCTTGGATTCACGCGTTTTGACCACCTGTTAGTGAATTATAGGCACATAAAACAATGATCTCACAAAGGAGGGGAGTCACGAGCACCCCAGGACCACCCCTGTGGGTGCTTCTTATTTAATATTCTTCAAGTCAAGGGGGACACTTATTCAAACAAGAAGAATATTTGAAGAGGGGTGCCACGGTTTTGCCAATTTCGTGGTACACACAGGCAATTCTCCCTCGATTAGACACCCAGCAGAGCAGGGGGGGGAATCCCACATGAAAGAGTCAGGGATGCTTATTATCTCAATTAGGGGTGTACCTTGCAATGTTTAGTTTCATGTGGGATGATCAGGACTATTATGAGTTATATGGTAAGATAAGCTGTTGCGTGTCGGCTTGCCTCGCGCTTCGCGCTTTTCTCTCTTCAACGCCAAATAACGCCTGTTAGGCGAGCCTCAATCTGGCGAGTAAATTCTCTTCTCTTGTATGCCTTCTTCCTTTAATGGACTCAAAAAACAGGGACTTGTTTAAAGTTGACATGGGGCGTCGAAGATTGGCTTTGCCTGGCTGACAAGGCATTTGAACTGATTTCTTGGAATCGGTTGAAAAAAAAAAAAAGTTTTTAACAATGTTTTCACCTT